CTCCTATTGTATGTTTATTTGAATGCTTGCTCTTAGGTAAGCAGCAGAGAAGGATGCAAGTACAGGTTGATTTTTATTAAAAGATCAAGTGAACAATCCAAAACACAATCTGAGAATCAAAGTCAAACAGGCGAAAAGTCAGGCGATGAGCAAACAGGCAAAACTAGACAAATTCAGAGAACAAAGTATTAGCTGACAAAGTCAGAACCAGAAACACAATACAAGAAAAACACTACATGCAGGTCATTTGCATAATTTTAATGGCAGATCCAGAAGAACGACTTAAACAGGTGTTTATCCCATCACAGAACATGCATAACTTTCCCACGTAAATATTGATGTAATTTGTGGATTTACAGTCTTCTCTGAAAGTACTGGGACAGCAAGCCCAATTCTTTTGTTTTTGCTATACAATGAAGACATTTGATAAGAAGTTTGAGATCAAAAGATGAATATGAAAGCTCAGAATTTCAGCTTTCATTTAGATGATGTAAAGCATGGCACTTTTGGTGGCAGACCAACCAATTTTTAGGTGAGCAAAAGTATTGGAACAGGTAGTCTTAAAGGAAATGAAAGTAAATAACACTTAATATTTGGTTGCATATCCTTTGCTTGCAATAACTGCAATAAGCTGGTGAGGCACTGACATCACCAAACTGTTGCATTCTTCTTTTGTGATATTTTTCCAGGCTTGTACTGCAGCTTCTTTCAGTTGTTGTTTGTTTAGGGGGGTTTCTCCCTTCAGTCTCCTCTTCAGGAGGTGAAATGCTTCTCAAATGAGTTAAGTTCTGGTGATTGACTTGGCCAGTCTAAAACCTACTACTTCGCCCCCTGGTGAAGTCCTTTGTTGTGTTGTCAGTGTGTTTTGGGTCATTGTCTTGCTGCATGCTGAAGTTCCTCGTGATTAGATTGGATGTGTTTCTGTAAAATGGCAGACAGAATGTTTTTGTAGACTTCTGAATTCATTCTGTTGCTACCATCATGACTTACATCATCAGTAAAGATTAGTGAGCCCGTTCCAGAAGCAGACATGCAAACCCAAACCATGACACTACCTCCACCATGCTTGACTGATGAACTCATATGTTTGGGTTCACGAGCAGATCCTTTCTTTCTCCACACATTCCTTTCCATCACTTTGGTAGAGATTAATCTCAACACTTCCTGCACACCAGCCTACAGGAAGATCTGACATTAGATAGTTGCCACAGCTATCTAGATCTAATTTATGATTACAGGAAAATCCATGTAGAAAGTATATTCTTATGATTCTGCTAGCAACAAATTGCACTGCAAAGTAGAAGGATTCTCTGAAAATATTAAAAAGTAAATGCACACGTTTCTGGTTAAATGTGATGTTGGTTTTATCTATACTGTAGACTTCCTTTAAGCAGAGTAGAGGATATCATATGTAAAGATCCTTATTAAGCATTCTTTTATTTCATTCTAGCTGCTTTCCACAAAAAGAGGGGTTGTGGAAGGCTGGAGCAGTATCATTTCTGTTCAGAATGAATCTAAATGAAAAATAAATGGCTTCTAATCCCTGATTTGCAAAACTAATAATGCAATAAAATGCTATTTTTTATAATGCACAGATTTTATTATACAATACCTGATCCTGAGTCTATGGAAGCTGAACTTTAGATTGATGATTTATGAGTTATGCATGTAAAAAAATACAGGAAAATGTTTGAAAGAAACTCTGTGTCTGAAAAATATCTTAATGTCTGTGTCAGAGAGATGGGGCGGTGATTATTGTTAGTCCAATAGCCTCAGGAATGAATACACAGAGAGGATGAATAATAAATAATACATTATTCATATTTTTACAAATTTTTTGCTTGTCAAAAGGAGCTTCTGACCTGAGTGGGAGTCCTGTGATTTGGAGGTTCAAGCGCTTAGATGTTGATTTTTTTTTTTTTGTTCTTGAATGCTGAGTGACTCAAAACAATATCTGAAGTAGAAAGAAATTATATGAATGCTAAACAGAGCTGAAATCTTGTTAAGAATAACATAATGATGTGCATATCCTTATCATCAGACATTACATTTAAAAAAAAAAGAACCTCTGTCTGTCTTCTCCTTCTTATTACTTCTCCATGTGAAAAAGATTTTGAGTTTGTTTTGCTCCCTTGTGCCACCTGTAATTATTATCTGTCTCGTTCTCTCTTCTTCCTCTTTTCTACACTTCACAATTTCTCTCTTTTTCCTTTGCAGTTATATGTGTATGTGCATCTTGTCCACATCTGTATGTCTGAAGGAAAGCCCTTAAAGCTATTAAGCATGCGGTCAGGCTTCAGCTTTAGGACACTGCAACATCGCAACTTAATTTCATTCGCTTCAGAAAATGTAGTCATTGAGCTGAAACTCAATTCATTACTGACCATGACTCATACTTCTTCAATTTCAATTTTACCGGTCAATCAGACTAAGCTTGCCTTAGCTGTAAGGTGTATTTTACTCCCTTGAGGCAGCAATTATTGGGGTCTGCCTCTCTCTTTGTTCCCTTCTTTCATCACTCTTGTCTACTCCCTGTGCACATGGGTACACTCTTCACACCTGTCTCTCAAAAGTCTGTCCTTGGAAACCATTAATTAATTAGTGTGTGTGTGTGTGTGTGTGTGTGTGTGTGTGTGTGTGTGTGTGTCAGAATGAGTGTGTGGCTGTCCATACAAATGTGTGTCTAGGCAGCTAATGAATAAGAAAAAAAGGTGAATCCTCTGAGATACTTCCTTTCACAAAGATTATTTTAAAAAAATGTGTTCAGTTTCAGTAACACTTTCTCAGTCTCAAGGAGAGTGTTTATAATGCTTTATGACACCTACATAAACCTTTCATGGCATCTGGGAAGCATACATTCATTTATAAAGCATCAGATAACATATTATTCCTCATTTTTATTTATTCTTTTTATTTTGACATCAAGTTGACATAACACTTGAGTTAAGTGATTTTTATTGACATTTGGTTGCTGGTGAATTTCCTGACAAGTGACTTTGTAGCTCGGTATATTTCTAGTGTGTCAGAGTCACATAATGGTGATATGAAATAGCTCATTAAGAAAAGGGTTATACTGCTGTACTGTGACAATCTCTATTAGTAGACGTGAATTGAATGGAAAACTTAAAACAATTAACAATTATGTATATATTTTTTCTGGCTCTTAAGCAAAACGAGTTTAATTTTGCTGTTTATTTTTTTATGAATACCTATGGCTATTCCATGACATAATAATGACAAATAAGCAAAGTTATATTTAAGTATTTTTTCTTTAATCATAAATTAATTAATAGGTTTGGTTTTGATGGTTCACATCAGTACCATTATATTCCTCCACATCAGTACAGCACCAGAAGACAAAGTCTGAGTATTTGAGTGACAAAGTCACTTGTCAAAATGTTCTAACATAAATCAGCCTTAAAAGTAACTCAACTTTATGTCAAGTGGTGAAAAGAGTACAGAATGCACTGTCTTGAGGAAAAGTACCGCTACTGGGTTAGTTGTAACAGGACCAGTTGCACCAATCAGGGACAAGCTAGAATATCACGATCACTAGAATCTCACAATCATGATCACTTGCTTTTTTAGAGACAAAAACAAACCAACAAAAAAATTTAGAGGTGATAAGAGTAATTTTTGGGACCAATTTTATATTGTGATAGAACTTAAATGATAGAACTTGTAGTAGATTAAACAGTACTCACTTAAGTTAGATGGGATGCATTTCAATCATGCTAATTTCAACCCACCATACTACAACAGTCAGGAATAAAATATCTGACAGGGGTAGGGATAGTTGTAACACTTTGAAAATAGAGTTACAGCCAACTGCCAATGATGACAAAGCGCATTACTCAGCATTCCTATAGGCATGCTACTGTATACACAGTGTACGCCGTGGAAAGGGAAAACAGACAGGGGTGTGCCTTGAAAAAAGCTCAGACAGGGGAAATCAGTCAAGTCTGACACCATTTTCAAGTCAGAAAGTTTGCATATCAACTAGCAGTGGAGTGTAACCTCACACACCCCCAGTCTTGGGATGAAAAATCTATAGCAGGTCCTGCCTGGTTCTCAGGCTTTATGAAAATGCATCCCAACCGGTCAATGAAAAGCGTGGAGGTAACTAGTCTGACGCGAGCTATGTCCAAGCTTTAACTGTTCAAATATGGAGAGATTTTTCAAGTGCCTTGGGGAAGTAATTGAGAGGCATTGCTTTGCTAGTAGTGATATATGGAAAATAAAGAGACGTACAGATAAAACGTTGTTTTCTGATAAATATCATAATTAAAATATTATCACCCTAGGCATACACATAAAGAACATTGTTTATTATGGACTGTAATTTGTTCATTCATTCACCTTTTTGTGTCAGACCATTAAAGCACAAGCTTTATCTGCTAGGCCAATAAATGCATTTGTCTTTGTGTCAGAGACTTGAACTAATTGGCTTTCATAAGGATAAATAAGGATCACAGAGTGTGTCAATATAGTGAAGCCAAAGGGGCCATTCAGGATGCATACAGTGATGCTAAAGGCTTGTGCCCATGCTTCAGTATTTGACGTGTTGGGGGTGAGAACAGGTTGGTGTCAAAGAATCAGCACTGTGATAGATTTCATAGTCTAAGACTGTTGTATAGTGTGATCTCAATCTGTGCTTCTTTTCTTTTATTGTTACAACTTACACCAGCTTGGAGTAGGTTGTAACAGTGGAATTCCTTGTATCTGACATCAATTCATGAACACTGTGATACTATAACAGAGGTTGAAATGGCTGCTGTTTGTAGTAGACAAATGTGGGAATGTTGTATCTAAATTTGAGAGATCTAACACGAAAACTCAAAAATGTGTTACAGTCATCCCTGTTCCCTCCTAGTAATAATTCCCTTGATTAAAAGTAAACGTAGTGTTCAAGAAAATTACTCAAGTACGAGTAAATCAATCAGCTGCTGAAAAAGTACTTGCGAAATTATTTAGCAAATTACTGTTTTATGTCTACTGGATCCCTGGAGGACTAGTGGTTAGGCCACATCGCTCTCTCACCGCTGCGGACCAGGTTCAATTCCTGGCCAGGGAACCAACCCCAGCCACTGGGGTTGCATGCAGCATGATCCACAACTAATCTGAAAATATACTGAGGAAAGCATTTGTGTACAAATTAGCCACTTGTTTTTTGGTTTTAAGTGGCTTTCTACGTTAGCTTTCCATTAGCTAGCTAGCTCATGATAATCCATACATGTTTTTATAGCTACATATTAAGCTATCTAGCAAAGATGCCCCTTATCCTGAGTGTTACCTATAGGCTGTAGCAGCACTTAGATTATTAATTAGTCTTTAACACAACAGGTAATTGCTACTGAACATTGAAATGACAGCTTAAGTTTAATACAGAGCGTTCATACTGTAAAACATCAAAAGTTCTGGCTAGCTAGTTTAGCTCACTCAGCTAGCTTACCTGTACATGCCTCTGCAGGTTGGATGTTGAGCTGTGAAATGTTGATATCTTCACTGGTTTCTGCTTCCATAACTTGCAGATCATTATCACGCTGTTTCCTCTGAAGCATTTTAAACTGAAGATACCTGATAAATTGAGCCAGTGGTGCTGCTCTGTCTCCACTGTCTCAGACATTGCTGCTGCGGATTAAGTATGTGGTGCCTGAAGTGTAGACTTCGGGCAGGAAAGTGTTTTATTTTGATTGTGTTTAGAAGTTGAATTATTTAAAATTTACAAATATTTTATTGGCTTACAGTCTTCCTGGATTAAATGTAATGGCTACATTTACATGCATATCAATATTCCAACATTAATTGGAATTTGGCAGTATTCTAATTAGTATTGAGTCATGCATGTAAACACCGCAATCTGATTGTCTGATTCAGATTAAGACAATATTCTGATTCCCCAAATTTCGATTTAATCAGAAATTCTTTGCATGTAAACAGCTTATTCAGAAAATCCACTGAAAGGAGATATATGCACACGCTCAGTCTGCAAGGAATTGTGGATGCTAACAGATGCTCAGCTGTAGGCTATGTCTTTAGGAATGGCAACTCAGGTATACTTACAACAACCATGTATACAGGAATATTCCGATGCCTGTACGCATATAAACATCGTATTTGGAATATGGCTGCAACCCGAATACAGACCTTAAACAGAATCTGATGTGCAAACGTAGCCAGTCTGACCTTTTGTACAAAGCAGTTAACATGGTCAATATCACAAATTTACTTAAATTTAAATAGGGACCTTGAAATAGTGCAGAATCCTGAATATTAAATATGCAAGCTATTGAACTTTTACTTTCTTTGTTTTAAAAATTTCAAAATTGTCTGTTTATTACGAAATTTAATAAAAATAAAAAAAAATCCCAATTTTTAATGTGGTCTCAGATTTTGGATCCCAATGTATCTTTATAAATATCTTTGTAGGTTTTTCAGTTGTCATAAAATGTCATTTAGCCATATGAACACTACGCATTTCTAAAATTCAGTCAAAGCTTATCTTTAATGATGGACATAATGAAGCAAAGGGATTCTCCTTACAGACACAGCATTAAATCCAGCTTTTAATTCAATTTTATGTTTTTAAATTTTATGAATTTTACTGAAATCAAACAGAAAAGTTAATTGTGAGTACAGATATTTTTATATTTTTTACACTAAGATTAACCTAAATTTATACTAAATTTATTATTAATCTGTGTCAAGTTTCCCAAAAGCATCACAACACCGTTTAAGAACATCATTAAACAGCAGAACAAGCATCACATTTAACACTCTCTCTCTACCAGTTATCACTATAGCTCAAATTTTATCACATAGTTCTTATAAAATTATAGAACATAGTGCTCATTCACACAGTGAAGTGCACATCCCACACTGCCTCCCTCTCTGAATGTGCATTTGTGTGTGTTTTCCCTTATTGCACTTCTTATCAGAATGCACTGAAGATTACAGTGTCAGAATAAATTGAGAGCGCTCACCGTATAAAACCGACTCTGCCACTAGACAGGCAAGATTTGTTCACTTTTGTATTACAAGGAAGAACTTATATTAAACAGTAAACCAGAGATTTCACCTTGGATGAAAAGATTTGTGCCCTGCTTGGGGAGCACACCAAATCTGTCCTCTCGAGTTTTTTTTTTTTATTAGAAATTGGCAGTGCTGTGCTACCAAGTAACTGTTTTACAGAACACAAAGTAATAACCAAGAGCAAATCAAGTATCAAGAGCCTATTCTCTAATGGAAGGTCAAGCACTGTCGGCTTTAAAATCAAATAACCTCGCATCAAATAACTTCTTTTGCACTTGATTGTAAGACCCACAGGCAATTTTAACTTCAGGGTTCTTTCTTCACTACATACTGCAAAATTATTGCACTAGAAAACAAATTTACAGGCCATATACAACTATTTCAGAATGTCATATCCATCACATAGCATACAGTATATGCCACATTTTGTAGATGTAATATTAGGTGTACAAATAACACAATAAGCATATCTGAATGGTTATAACACTTCGGTTATGCTACGCTAATAGACAATTGTGTCCGAATGCCTTCCAATAACTTTTATGTACTTCCAAATAATCTAAAACGTGTGCTGGTGCTGCAGTCAGCATTGGTTCAGGGAGGAATTATACGTTCGTATGGATGAAAAAAATCTTTCAAATGCATTTGACTTATGTTCTTATTAACATGATATTTGTGCGTATGTTAGTTTCATATGTTTTTGAATAACACTGATACTGTGTAATTTACAGACTGAAAATGTCAGCTAGTATAGCCATCAATAAACAAGATATAACTGACAATAAATGCACCCTAAAGGCATTTGTGAGTACATGTATTATTCATCATTTTGCTTACAACAAATGTCACATAATAATTGTTTTGTGAATGCTGGCTGTGAAAGATATATTTATGATATTCTATAACAGTTTTAAACAATTGTAAACAATTTACATCTTTAAAAAAGAGACTAATATAAAACCTTACCAAAATTGACATTTAAAATAAACTAAAAATAAAAATTGACATTTTTAATCTAACCCCCAACATCTCTGGAAATCATACAAATTCAGAAGAAAAAAAAAAGATTGTACAAATTGTACATATTGTACATAAATATTTTACATATTTTTGTTTTCCAGTTAACAGTTTAATGTTTTTAATAAGGTTTAATATTTGTCAATAAAATTGGAAAAATTAAAAAAAAAAATGTAAAATAAATAAATGTAATACAAATTTTTAAATATTTAAAACAAAGAAAGTAAATGTTCAATATCCTGCATATTTAATTTCCAAGATTCTGTACTATTTCTAGGTCCCTATTTAAATGTAAGCAAATTTGTGATATTGACCATATTAACTGCTTTGTACAAAGGGTCAGATATTCCTGAACTCTTCTACTGAAGCATGTGTTCAGACGACACACCCATGGATTTGATCTAAAATGGATCATAAGGTTTTGCACACACATGTGGAGTCCATTCCAGCTCGAGTGCACACTGTCATTAAAGCAAAAACGGGACGTACCAAATACTAAGAAACTCTGAAATTCATGTAAATATTTCAAAGACTCTACTTTTCACTCATGTCGTTGTCTATAATATAATTTGTAATGACAATTGTTGTATTAAATTAGAAAAGAGTGCAAAATAGAAGCATTTTCACTAGCGCTCTCAGACTTTTGGACCCCGTTGTAGGTCATTCAGTGTTAAATTCCTAAGTTGTAAGTAGATTGGATGTAGACACGTTGCATGGAAGTGGTTACGCAGATCCATATTAGCTATGGGGTGAACTTTCTGCAGTGTATAATGGTAAATGAACTGTAACTAAACCTGCACTGTTTTTGAAAGCCATTGACTGTGATATGTACTGTTTTCTGGAAATACTATATCAATTTTAGCCAAAGTTTACAAACTGTATATCATTCCTTTTTGCAGAAAAACAGAAGAAATACAATCATTGTACTGTAACGTGAAGTAGTTTACCGTATATTTGTAAAGCAATTTTTCAGTCTGTTCTGTATTTTTCCTTTAGGAATATGGTATTTCTTGAAAATCTTATAGCGATGTAAAGCTAGAGTGCTTCTGTGCTATCTTTTATTAAATGCAAAATGACATTTTAGACAAGATCTTCAGTTTGGGATATCACTGAGGTTTAGGTAGCCTATGAATGCAACCTGCCTTGAATGTCAACAACCCTGGATTATGATATCTTGAAGCTGTACCATTTCCAATACCATTTCCTTGAATGTCATACTTCCATTGCTACATACAGTTGCATTGCTGGAATAAAGCGAATGAGTGTTTACTGAAACTGATGTGACCATTTTTCATACTGATGGCTATTTCACCTCTGGGCTCTCCAACAAGGACGGTGCGGAAGGATGTGGAGGCAACCAAATAGAATCACGTTCCTCCAATCTCTTGTTCAAGCTGCTATGCTGCTCACTGCATGCTAAAAGGGTAAGCAGCCCTGGAGAGGCACGTACCTCCAAAAGGCTATTCATCTTCTGTGACATTCGTTCAGCTACCTTTTTCACTCACCACTTGCTCTCTCCTTCTTTGTGTTTTGCAGCATTCATTCTCTCTCCCACCACATTCCCAGTCTTTTTTCACTCTTAGTTATTTTCCGAGAGAGAAAATATTAGTATATGGCATAAATTTATCTCGTACATAGTGCCTATGCCTCTTATAAAGGTGTAATACTGTGTAGCTTTATACTGTATGTGCCTCTTTCTCAGTTAGGGGCTTTTAAAAAGGTAAAGATTTTAATCATACAATTATAAATTTTCTAATAAACCCCAAGATTCTGCTATTTTATGGCACATAGTTTTTTTCATCATGGTTTTGAAGGTATAAAAAAGTATCTAGCTGCTATTCCTGGGCTTGCGATATTAAAAGTGACAAAAGAACCTTGCAGTTATATTGCTGTTCCAAGGACTGAGTGAAAAGAAGGAGTCCTTGATGGCATATACTTTGGTTCATTGATGAATAAATGATTGCCTTATGTAACAAGTAGAAATGAATTTAACACATTAAACAGAGGACAATATGCTTTCTCATT